CAGTGGAAACTGAAAAGCAAGATGAAATTCTGAATACTGAATTATCACATTCACATCACTTGGTAAAGACCAATAAATAAATATTAAATAATATTAAAATATAGATTAGTGGAAATTGAAAACCAAGATGAGTACTGCAAGTCTGCAACTGCTACAAGTTGAAAAAGCAGAAACACAGCAAGATGAAAACGCAAAAACGCAGCAAGATGAATACGGCTACAACAAAGATGAAAACGCAACATACTAACAAGATGAAAACGCAGCAACAACGAAAGCAGAGTGTGAAACTGAAAACAAATACAGAGTGCAAAAACGATTTTCAAATCAGGGTCGCACTTGACCCGGGTAAAATATGTGAGCTTTTACTTTCAGATTTCCAAATCCGTTTATTTTGCCGTGAATTTCGCACCAAAACGATTTTGCTTGCGATCCAGGTCGGTGGAGGTGATTGAGATTGCAAAATCGTGCGATTTCACGATCTGGATCGCGATCTTAACAATATTGGTTACAGCTATGATGTTGATGTTGGTGATGTTACTATGATGAATAAAGTTGATGATGTGCATGTTTAATGTGTATACGTGCTATGTGATTATTTGGAGTTGTTGTGATTGCATAAAAGATATATTTGTTGTATGAACTATATTTTATGCTTGTTGGTCAATTTGGGCGGTGTATAATAACCATGGTGATAGGTTATTGTGCACGATGATATTGTCGTTGTTGTATGTATGAATATTTGCATTGCATACATTTATGAACGATGGTCTGTTGTTGAGGAGCCTAAAATCTCATTGTGTGGATTGAGCCGGTAGCTAATTCCGGAGGTGATGGATCAGTGAGTGGTTATGATCCTAGGAGGTGGGGATCAGAACAGTGAATCTTAGTGCTCACAAAAATTGGTACCACATGCATATGCATTGAGTCTGGTTTTGAGTCTCATTGCATTATATATTAACTATGTGGCTATGTTGCTAATATGTGGTATTGTTGTGATTAATTGGATTTGTTATCATGTGATTTCCATGTTGGTTGGTGGATAATTAGTGATGATGTTGTTGGTTGATTGGTATGAGATATTTAGCTAAATTGTTGTTGTGTTACCTTTATGTTTGGATAACTTAGTGTTGGTGTTGGGTGTGTTGTGTCGTAGAATGGGTGATAACGCATGTGTTAACATAATGCATACTGTTTATCATGTTTTCCTTTATATTATCATGATATCTCACCCCTTCTGTTTGAATATTTCCTCCACGTGTGTAATGTGCAGATAATCCACAGTAGAAACTCAAATGTGAGTGGAAGATGAAGTCTTATGTTTCTTTTAGTTTGACGTCTGCTCTATATGTAACACTGGGATTATGGAACGTTGCGTGTAGGGCTGGAAATGAGTCGAGTCGAGTCGAACTCACCTCAGCTCGGCTCGACTCATTAAGAATTTTTCGAGTTCGAGTTCGAGTTCGAGTTCAACACGAACTTTTTTTTAAGCTCAAACTCGACTCGTTATGAATTGTTTCGAGTTCGAGTTCGAGTTCGAGTTCAACACGAACTTTTTTTTAAGTTCAAACTCGACTTGTTATAAGTTCACGAACAGTTTGGTTCAACTCATTAGGATCAGCTCACATGATTCACGGGCTTAAAAACTATTTTTTTTAATATATATATATTTTAGTATATTTGACATTTTAAATAAATATATTTTTTTTAAAATAAAATATTAAAATAAAATAAAAATTATCATATTGAAATTTAACTTTATCTTCGAAATCTACTAATTCAAAACTTACACAACTTTCAAGAGATACATTTGAGAGTCTAATTCAAAAACTACTAAGTTGAAGATTAAATTTGTCTAAGGTTTAGATTAAATATTTAAACCTAATCTTAAAGACAGTATAATTATTCTCATATGTAATCGAGTTAACTCATGAACCTAACGAGTCGAACTATGTAGAGTTCAAGTTCAGCTCATTTAGTTAACGAACTTAATTTTTCGCTCATACTCAACTCATTAGGTTCATGAACCTAGTTCAACGATCTAATTGTCGAATCGAATTTCGAACTATTTTCGAGTTGGTTCGGTTCATTGCCAGCCCTAGTTGCGTGCTTTTTATTGTTGGTGGTTGATTACCATGTTTTATTTCCTGTGACTGTTGTTTCTTTATGACGCTATCAATTATGCTATGCCTTGAGTTGGTAGCTTGAACGATTAAATGTTATTTCCCCTGCTATATGAATTAACCTTCAGTTATGTTTTGCTGATAATGGTATTATAAATTTGTTTAAAAGAACATGTGTTACATATCTGATTTAATGAGTAAGTATTTGTTGAAAGTGTGACATTCCTAAATATTATTTTATGGTTAATTACTCTGATTTTATTTATATTACGCGGGAGATTATTTAGGATGTTACAATCATAGCCTTCAAAAATTTAAAGTTTATAGTCAAACTCTCAAAAATGGGTTGATATCCTCTCCATTTCTTTGTCCCTCCATTTTCTCCATTACTATAGTTTTTTGTGTAAATAACACACATTTCTAAGACATATGACATACAATTAATATTTCATTGATTTTATATACAACAAAACTATAGTAATAGAGAAAATGAAGGGATAAAGAAATAGAGAGGATATCAACCCCTCAAAAAGACCATATACAAACTGAAGTAAACTATCATTCGACTAAATCTATATAAATATAAGATGCAATTTCTCTTATGATATCCTTTTAATTTTCAGAATTTATTTTTGATATTTGATTTCCATTACAAATCAATCAATCAAAATCCTTTTAACCTATAATGATATTAACATTTATGATAAAGGTTTTCACTTTAATGTAATGCATATGTGTGTCGGTTTCTACCCCACACCCAAATATTGACTTTCTCCCCTTTCATATGTATGATTCGATTTTGTATATCATGTTAAACAAAAACTTGTAGTACACGGTATTAAATAATTCATTGTAATCATTTTTATTATTTATATTAAATAATGCACAAAACATGTATAATGCACAAAAACGTATATGTTAAATAATGCACTATACATCATTTTATTTTTTATATTAAATAATGCAAAAAACGTGTATGTAAAAAATACACAAAAACTCACAGAATAATGCACTATAATGTGAAATAAAAACTTGTATGATTATTAAGAACACTATCAATCAAGGGATAATGGCTATAATGGCACTTAATGAATCTTAAATGCTTAGGATTCATTAGAAGTAACTTGGTGTATACTTTTCTAGTACACATGTCTTGCTCTCCACAAATTTAATTTAAATATGTGTTGGCTACTATTATAATAATATTAAAATAAATAAATAAAAAATCGTTGTTATAAGAATATTTATTTATTTTGGCATGGATGGATGAACATGTTTTTATCATCGGCACGTAAGCTTTAGCTCTCTGTCTTTATCCAATTCAACAAACAGCACTTACCAAATTTCGGACGCATTTCTTGCTTCTTCAACCACACAACACAAGAATCCATATAAAAATACAAATTTAATATATACACTGTTTTTTTCTTTAATATTCTGTACTCTGTCTTAGTTATTTTACAACAATAATCAATTATCAGGCAGAAATCAAAGGTTTAATTCTCTCATCTTTTCTACCATCGCCATAGGTTTAATTCGATTGCTTTTGCATGTGCCTTGTTTCTCAAAATCATTGCTCTGATCAAAGTTAATCTTCAATTTGTTGATAGGATTATTTAGTATTTCATCTTGATCCAACCCTTTGAAGATGACTATCACCAAAGTCTACATTGTGTAAGCATATATTCAATTTTAAGCATTCATAATGTTGATATAAGAAATTTTAGTATTATGGTTTTGGGAATTTTATGTCTTACATCAATTTTTGCAGATATTATTCTTTGTATGGACATGTGGACACTATGGCAAGAGAAGTATACAAGGGGGCAGCTTCAATTGAAGATGTTGAAGCAACACTCTGGAGGGTAATTTTTCAATTATCTATTACATATTAGAATCTGTGTTGGTGTCATGGTGTGTTCGACCAGGGCCGTCCGAGTTTGACGGCGTGAAAGGCGGTCTGGTCTACCGCACATGGCCCAAAATTTGTCACGGGTAATTCCTAATATTTATCTATGCTAAAATGTGGTTAAATAAGGTCACTAATTGTTTCGTTTTGTCATGGTTGAATCATGACTAACCTACATAGGACTTCCTCTTTAATTAGAAACAACTTAGTCTTAGAAGTTTGTTGTGTTTGGTGAAAACAGGTACCTGAGATTCTGTCGGATCAAATATTGGAAAAGATGAAAGCCCCTCCTAAACCAGATGATATACCTGACATCAGACCAGAACAACTTGTGGAAGCAGATGCTTTGATATTTGGTTTTCCTTCTCGTTTTGGTGTGATGCCAAGCCAGCTCAAGGCCTTCTTCGACGCTACTGGTGAGTTGTGGGCGTCACAAGCACTCGCAGGCAAACCTGCTGGAATCTTCTGGAGTACTGGATTTTATGGGGGAGGCCAAGAATTGTCGGCGTGAGTATCCCTTTCAGATCTATCTATCTTTTGAAACTTCATTCCTTAATGACATATGCCAAAGTTAGTAGTTTAATCATAAAATGTTCGGTTTATTTTATATGTATCAGTGCCTGTGTCATGTTTTTTGACATTAGAAGTGTCGACATGTCTGAAACTCTGTCTCCATGTCGTGTCGGAGTCTATGCTTCATAGACTATTACTGTCAATAACTCCTTCTTTTATGTGATGGTTGCAGATGGACAGCTATAACTCAGTTAGCTCATCATGGCATGCTTTTTGTTCCTCTTGGATACACCTTTGGCAGTGGCATGTTTGAGATGGACGAGGTGAAAGGAGGCTCGGCATACGGCGCTGGAACTTTTGCAGGAGACGGAACTCGTCAACCGACAGAGCTAGAGCTTCAGCAGGCTTGTTACCAGGGTAAATACATTGCTGAAATTGCAAAAAAGTTGAAAAGTTAACCTTCTTGTATCCCATATACTCAACTATATATTATAGCTTCCTGTTGCTAACTTTCCATCCTTTTACTAGTATTGTGGCTGCAGGGTTGCCTTTTTCTCAGAAACTCTCAAATTATGCTAATGCAATTAATAATAAAATTGTTTAAAAAAACAGAATTTTAGATAGATTTTAAAAATTGATTTTCATCTTACAAAACATTAAATATTTGAGAAATCAGTAGTTTTACTTGTTTTGTGTTTGAATTTTTGTTTAGGAGATTGAAACTGGGCTTAACCAATCATGGAAATCGTTAATTGTAATAATAACAGAAATAATTTTGGATAGTCTCTATCACTATCTTATATATATATATATATATATATATATATATATATATATATATATATATATATATATATATATATATATATATATATATATTGACGACTGAAAAAACTTCACTAAGCCAAACCGGTAACACAGAAACAGAGGGGCTTCCACTAGGGAGGCACCCAAACCAAATTCTATAACCAACAGTTTTACCCAAACAAGCCATGTGGTGAGCATCCAAATTATACAATCTACTCAAAAAGGTAACAGAAGCCAGAGAAAAACTGTCGCAATGCCCTACGGTCTAAAGCAATATGATCAATGTTGGCTATACTCGTCATAGAGTTGATGCACTCCACAGCAGTAACTGAATGAAGACTTTGTCACACCTCAAACCTTTCACAAGATTAAGGCTCCATCTAATAGTCAAAATTTCGGCCAGGCACGGATCAGCACAAAGACTATCTTTCAAGCAAGCAACAACAATGACCGGTTGATTATGGTCATTAAAAACTCAAACGTGGTTCCTTTCCCAGCAATCAAACCAGCATCCACGTGCACTGCGCAAAGGCCTTTAGGAATATGCTCCTTCAATGGGTTCCGGCTTTGACTCCCCACATCCTTGTCTGGCCTAGTCTCCATTCAAAACTCCATGACACCCTGCCAAACTCTCTTCCCTATGACAGTCGGCACCACCATTTTTTGGTTATACAGCTCATCATTTCTAGCTAACCTAATATTCCAAAGAAACGAACTAAGCAATTGAGCACTGAATTTGTCCTTGGAATTCAAGGTGACTAATAACCAAAAGTTGGAGCAGATGCTTCAATATTTGGTTCAGCATGATGTTTTACCAAAGGTTCCCCATGTGTTTTAACATTCCATTAATATTCTCAGCAGAGTGGGATTCAGCCTTCTTGTTTATAGCAGCCAAAACTTTTTCATAGAGAGCGAGTTTAGGATTTTCTTAAGCAGATGAACTTACTTGATATTTCTTATTCCTTTTGTACACTACATTTTTCTTATTTTCTTAGAAAATTTTAACAGGAACAATCATCTAGAGGGGAACATCATTGTATGTAGCATTCTGAGGTACCCAATGTGAGTGCAATATGCTCTTAAATGTATTTTGAATGATGTCAAAACTAGGTAGCTTAGATCTTTGTGTATTTGGACCTTACATTCTTTGTCAAAATATGCACCATTATCATCATAGAACATGTAAGACTATATTACATAAGCCATCACATGCCCAAATATGATTTTTTTTTTCCACAAAAAGACATGCATGGGTCGATACATGTGGAATATGGGTCGATAAATATTTAGTGGAATTTCAAAGAATTTGGATATGCCTTCAATGGGTCGATACAAGGGAGCAATGGGTCAATACATTCTGTGAATGGGTTAACTCATTCTTGGTTGGGTCGACTCAATTTGAAAGATGTTTTTCAAGGATTTGCCACTGCCTTGAATGTATCAATACATTAAGCAAATGGGTCGATACATTGAGCAAATGGGTCGACTCACCCGTGTTTGGAGTCGACTTATTCTGAAACAGTTTTTTTAATTTAGCTACTGACTTGAATGTATTGACTCTACTTGGTTTCATATTGACTCATTCAGCTGATGTGTTGACTCATTCCGTTTTAGAGTCAATACATTCTGAACCAAATTTTAAAATTGCATTTCGGCTAAAAATATGTTTTTCTCATTTCTTTTCTACACTCACACATACATATTCATGCATCATTTCTAAGCATTAAAACCTGAAGAATACAAAGAATTCTCATCATATTCAACCTTTCTTGATGCATTCATCAACTACACATAATCATTTTTTATTGTTGGTTGGCAAGTTAAGATTGATAAGGTCTAATCTAGGTTGTGTAATCAAAATTGGGTTGAGGTTTTCTTTGGGGGATTCAAGGATAATACCTTTTAGGTTTTTTACTCCAAGATCAAGGGTTAATTTGGAGGTTTTTGCGCAAGTCTTTTCAAGTTGGATTCAACTGTGCGAAGGCTTTAAAGAACGTAGATTCTTGTAAAGAAGTAGTTGTAACCCGATGATCAATTGAAAGGATTGGGGCAAGATTTCGCAATTTGGATTCAGCCGAGTGAAAGTTTTGAAGAACGGAAAGTGTGGTCAAAGGAGTAGTGGTAACTAGAGGATCATATTGGAGATCTTGTGTGATCTGATCTAACTAAGATCAAGGGTAGAGAAAGAGTTAGAATCAACATCAAACATAGGGTTTGGGGTTTGAATTTCTATACTTCTCTTGTAAGCTTATATTGTAAAGGTTAATTACAACATCTCAAGTTGATTTCGATTTAAAGGAAGACGTACCCATAATGAGGACAATTAGGGAGCTTCCTAAATAAGTCTTGGTGTTCTCTCTCTCTCTCTCTCTCTCTCTCTCTCTCTCTCTCTCTCTCTCTCTCTCTCTCTCTCTCTCTCTCTCTCTCTCTCCCTTTGATTTTGAGAACAATTAGTGTGTAATTCGAGTTGTTGAAAATTCTGGTTGTATTGAATTGTTTAAAATTGCTTTTGTGAAAGCATTGCAGTCTAAGCCATTGCAATTAATTTGTTATAACTTTAACACAAAGAGAATCAAGTTTTATTTTACTTCTCATTGGAAATCATTTATTTTAAGTGTGGTTTATATTCAAATAAATTATATTGAACTTGTTGATTGGCTTTTCTCATCTTTGTCATACATTCTACTACGGTTGTATGCATACCGATTCTATCAATAACGATTCGGGTAGACGATAGTCGATCCAGATTCGCTTTCGATTGCCATAGAAAAATACTTTTAAAATAGAATTTTTAATAATAAAATTTTCATTAGGCGATATATTCAACCTCCCTTCTAGATTGTTGGCCTCATCTACAAGTGGTATCACAAGCACTGGTTTATCTTGTGCTTTAAATTCGGCTTCCGAATTAAAGGGGGTGTATAATAAAGCGCCGGTTTTCAATGGTGAGAACTATGGTTATTGGAAGGATTATATGTGTATCCATATCAATTCTATTGATAGAAAAGTATGGAGCGCCATCCAAAATGGTCCATTTAGAATTACCATGACCAATACGGATGGTGTTGTTGTACCTAAACTGAAAGCACAATGGAATGAGAAATATGAGAAAAAGTGGTCTAGTGATTGGAGAGTAAGGAATATTCTAATCTCCGCTTTAGGAGTTAATGAATATTACTATGTTTCTCATTACGAAACCGCTAAAGCTATGTGGAATGCTTTACAAGTTTTTCATGAAGGTACAAATGAAGTCAAACAAGTAAGAATTAATACTTTAAATCAAAAGTTTGAACTCTTTTACATGGAGCACGGTGAAACCATTGCCAAAATGCAAAAGAGGTTCACTCATCTTTTGAATCGTTTGAATGTTGTTGGTAAGGCGATTTCCAATGATATTGATACTTTTTTTTTATAGATATCTTAATAGGGAATGGAAACCCAAGGTGACTGCCATCAAGGAAGCTAACAATCTATTGACAACTACATTGTTTGGTAAGCTTGAAGAACATGAGAAAGATCGCATTAGCTTAGAGAAGCGTGATAATAAAATTAAGAAAGAAAAGATAAAAGAAAAAGAGGTGGAAAAGAAGTCCATTGATCTTAAGGCTTATATTTCTAAGTTCTCAAAAAAAGAGCATGATGAAAGTGGATCTGGTGATAATGAGAAGTCGGATGATGAGAAATGGCGTTGTTTGTTAAACGGTATCATAACTACATGAAGAGAAACAAAGTAAAGCACTCCGACAAAAATCTCATTAACTTTAGAAGACAAGTTGACTCCTCAAGACATGATGAGAATAAGAAAGGAAAGTCAAAGAGTTCATGTTTTCATTGTGGTAAACCCGAACACTACAAGTCGTATTGTCCACAACTTAAGAATGATAAAGATAAGGGTAAAAATAAGAAGTCTAGAAAGACTAGAAAAGCATACATAGCTTGGTATAGTGAAAGTGAATGCTCAAGTGAAAGTAGCTCAAGTGAAAGTGATGAAGAATGAATATTTGTCTCAAGGCCCGTCATCATAAAAAGAAAATTGTAAGTCATTCTAAATATGAACTTTGTGACGGAGTGTCTTATTCTGAGTTAAAAGTTGCTTTTGAAAATCTATATGGTGAAGCGGTAATGATTTTAAAAAGTTAGCTTCAAACAAAAGAATATTTTCATATTATGAAGCTAAGAATTTAGAAATCGAAAAAAATTTGAAGCTCTTAAGCAAACCATGTTAGATGTTCAAAAAGATAAGATTGAGGATGAGAAGTCTTCATGGTTTGGTTGTAAAACTGGTCACATTTGGCAAAAAGAGGTTAATACTCTAAAGGTCAAATTAAACAAGGCATTAGAACCAAAAGTTACCTTTTATATTAATCCTACAAAATTCAAAATATCTTTAAATGTGTCATACAAGAAGTACAGTTTTGTGAAAAAGGAATATAATAGTGAAAGTCACTCTCATCGCCACTTGACTTGTCATTATTGCTGTAAGAAAGGACATACCATTGCTAAATGAAAATTTAGGAGATTTTTGGTTCCTAAAGGTGTATTTCAATGGTTTCCCAAATGCAAGAATATTTCCACTCACTCTCATTTAGGAAAGGAAGTCCTATCTTGGCCACTTGACCATTACCATTTATCCTTCCTTTTCTTCCATCCC